TGAATTATGTAATAATCAGTCTGCCTCAACCTTTAAGTCTCACATGTTTAATTTTTAATCAGACCTAATTAAGTATGTGTAAGTCATGCTAATTATGTGCTTCTTTTGTTTAAAGGGGGTATATCTTAAGCCTTTGCTTGTTATGTGTTTCCCCCAATTAGCTATACATGTTTTGTATGTAGCCTTAGAATTTTTTTGCCTTTAAACCACAAATAAGCCTAACATCCTACCTCCCATAGGATTAGTAGTCCTAAATGCCCCTGGGACTTGACAGGATTGGGATGGGTAGTAGCATGCAATAGGTAAGCGAGACCACCCGCGCTTTAATACCTTAACGGGGTGGGAAGGGTAGATATGGATATGATGACCACGGCGATAATGTCACGTGTAGCCTCTCATTGAGGAGTGATATACCAGGGCCTTGTGTGGGGTGATCCATATTATTAATAAACCTAGGACCCCCCTCCCTTTATTCTTTATTTCTTTCTTTTCAGCATTTTAACTCTTTATTTTTTTAAGAAAATCAGCTTTCCTAATTGTTCTTTCAAACCTTGCTTACTTTCAAACCTTTATGCGCTAAAATCCCCTCTTATTTGAGCCTTATTTGTCTATATGCTAATTGTACCCAAATTCACAATAATAGTCTGGCCGGGAACCACACTAGTGGATTCTGAGGGGTGCCTAACACCTTCCCCTTAGAATAATTTCAAGCCCTTACCTAATCTCTGGTTACTCAAATCAAACCTCCTTGGTGTCCTAATGCACCCTAATCATTAGGTGGCGACTCTTTAAATCAAACCCAATTCCCAAAAGGAATGAGTTGTCCTCCCAAATGTCATAAACCCGATTTCGCGAGAAAAAGGGGGCGCGACAGAGGGTAAAATAGGTATTTGGCAATCAAAAATTTGGTAGTTGAGTGACCTTCTGAGTGCAATAGGCATAGTTCAGTGACTTTGTTGTGACAAATGAAAGAAAAGTGACTTTAGGAGATAATTTGGGATAGTTGAGTGACCATTTGAGTAATGGTCACTCAAATGGTTGTTCTTCTTCTTCTCACCAAATCAGTATTTTGGGTCTTTAGACAACTATAAACGAATTTTCGGTTAGTAATTTTTTTTTTTTACGATGAGTTATTTTAAAGAATGATTGTGACTTCTTTATTCTACTGCTTGACTTTGTGTCATGACCATGCATAATTAAGGAATATAGATTGATTTGATTTTGGATCTACAATTCATTGGTTGCAGTTTCTTGTTAGTATATTGAAGCCATAGTTTTTACATATTATTACAATTACGGAATTAGATTCAGAGTTTCAGAATATTTTGGAAAGATTAAAGAAGTCTTCTTTGTCCTCTTATAATGGGCCAAATAGAAGCAGTACTACTAATTGTGATCCTATACATCGAAAGAACAGATGTTTGTTGTTGCTAGACAGTCGAGTTTAATAGACAAACTTCGAAGATTGAGTGAGGAATAAATTAAACTTTGCAGAATCTGCGAAGCTGGAAAATTTTTAAGTCAACTTTTGTGTCGCTAAAGTTTTCTAATATATAGTTTTATTTTTGAGAGGAGGACGAAAATCCACGAATTTTTTAGTTTCTAAATATCTTGAAATATGAAATTAGACATTGTAAGAGGCATAAATTTCTCCTAATTCGTATTGATAATTTCTTATGTTGTGAATATGGGGCATATGTAAACCATAGTATCTTAGCATATTACAGATATTTACCATATTCTGTTTTAATTTAGTACATATGCAATTCAAAATAAAGCGAATAACAAGTGAATATACCAAAAATATTGAAAAGTTACAATTAGGTGGAAAATTATTGTTAGTGTGACTAGATGGGCGATGGATCATTTACATTTGACTATTTTTTCTCCAATTATCTTTTTACAATATGTATCCCAAGCTTCTTCATGTGAAACAAGGCTACATGACAACTCTAATAAAGTGCAGAAATGTTTTATAATAAAATCTTTCGTAACTGTAGATATGGATATCCGATCAAAGATGTTACCATATGACTTATAATTTTGTTATTTCTCACTTGCTTGTATACAAGATTGATATATATGTATTTGAATATCGAGAAATATATCAAGCTCTAAAAATGGATGAAAACAAAGAAATCAAATAATATAGGATAGTACATGAATACATTGATATTTTATCTTACTTGAATTGGTTACCTAATTTTTAGTAGATAAAAATAACTATTTGCAATTCAATCTTTCAAATGCACCGACGAGATTTGAACTTTAAAACTTATTGATGTATAAATATATAATGCCTTGTATATATGATGAAGCTGAAGATTTTATGCCTGACATGTACATTAAAATAGAAAAAGCAAGGCTTGAATATTCCAGAAACGAGTAATCAACCTTGAAAAGACAATTAAGCCAAGACGCATTTGTGTGATATTCCTATGGAGGAAGGTTATAAAGAAGATAAAATTGATCCAAATTCCAACATCATATATTGGATCAACAAAATTTCATAAGCTAAGGAAGGTATACTAAAATTATTGATTGCGTAATAGCTAGAAAAATGAAGATAAACTTGACATGAGAGTATGTCGTTTGACTCTATTTATAAGGTCTTAACGTTACATGAGAATGCTAGCTGTTGATATATTTAAAGTTCTAATTTATAAGCTATAACAATTAAATATTTTTCAACTATGTACACATCAACTATTTTTGGTATATATATTATGTAAGAAAATATTATGAAATACACGTGAAACGTACGCACGTGCAGAAAGACTAATTATAATAAATACATATGGATATTTATCTGATGACTCTTCTCTTTCCTTGTAGTTTCCACACTGTATCACGAAGTAACTCCATTGCCAAAGTCTGGATTTCTTTGCAAAATAGTTCATAACATATATTTGGGAAGAGAGAGGAGAGAGAATTCTGGTAACAACAATTAATGTTATTTGGTTAACAAAATAAATCTAGTGTTTTAGTTATATAATTAAGACATGGTCTCTATTCTTACAAGGTAGAGGTAAAGTATGCATATATACTATCCAACCCAGACCCCACACTGAGGTATAATACTGGGTATGTTATTGTTGTTATTATGTAATCAAAGGGACACGTGTAACTCATTTAGGGAGTACAAACTAATATCTTTTTAACATGATTATTAAAAAGTGCACATATTTCGGTTCTCTCAAAATATTAATGAACATTAATACTTTTTTAAAAAAAAAAAAGAAAAAAAGACATATAAATATTCTAAACATCAGAATTAAACACCAAAAGATACCATATTTACAAAAGAAACTCAACGACTGCCTTTATGCCCAACTAGTAAACGTATCCACGCGATGCGCGGCTCATTGCAAATAAAAATAGTGCAATGAGGCATAATAGAAACCGACGTATATTATAGACTAAATTTACTGATCGCATTCAAAAGAATTAATTAAAAAAATAAATAGATGAACTTTCATCTTATGTACTCATGTAAAGGTGAAGTATAAAACTTGTCTGAAAATTAGAAGAAATTCAATATAAATAATATATATAAAAAATAAAAATAAAAAAGAGCATTCCTATGTTCCCCATAAAGAGTCTCAATCCAAAAAGCAGCAAAACCTTACTAAGGCCTTAAAAGGGTAAAAATAGGTCTTTAAGCACGATAGGTACATGACTTAGAATGGGCAACAACAAAATTTCAGTTAAATCTAATTTCAGTTCCAGTCCCAAATGAAGCTTCATCAAGGCGCCCAACTCGAACAAAATTCTATTTTAAGCATTTCCAACACAAACCGCATAGTTTTTTTAATCTTGATCATTTTTCATCCTTCAAAGCAGGACTGTCCTGCATGTACCAAATAAAACATGTGCAATGACAAATATAATGACCGAAAAATAGCTTGAAAAAGTCATCCTTGAAAGTATGCTTGAGATCCAAAATAGGGTATTCCCATTTTCTTAAGAAATGAAGTAATAATCAACCAAAAAATATTGCATAATTTCTCGATTTTCTTGTGGACAAATCATCAACCAAGTCTTGAGAGAATCACTAAAACCGTAGCTCAACTCCATCATCCTCTTATTGCACTCGAGCTTACCATGCTAGTCCCACCCAATGACAATCTCTCAACAGAATAGCATCAAGTAGTACTAATACCAATGAGAAATAGTCAGTAAAAAAAATATGTATAAAATAATGTATAACCAAAAAAAAAAGTGTAACTACTAAAAAATACTCCCAACAACTTTTTTAAAGAAAAATAAGCTTTACCCCTACCGACAATTTTTCGTTATCCTCGATAGAAGCACTTCTCTAAAATACGGAAATTTTAAACCACTAAAACTAAAGTATAAATAAAAAGTTTTTTGCCTCATTTTTCATATTTTCCAAAATTATTCAAAGCTTCAAAGTACTGCACTTACTATGACAATTGAGCACTATTGAAGCTTAAACTTTTGGCTTAGCAAAATAAATGCGATTCATATATAAACACTTCGATTTTATGAGGAGCAAATTATAGAGCTCAGATAAGTGCAAATATATTTTCAACACTTTCCTTCTAGCATAAGTTTCATATCCTTCTAACAAAGGTTTTAAAGTTACAGTACTAACAAAAATATTCATCGTTTATTTTAACACTTAATTGTACAGTAATACTCTATGGCAAGTATACTTTGGATGAATTAATATTTGTAACTACCTAAATATAGCTAGATTCCTCATTAATTTTTTATTTGAAAATAAGCATAACAGATTGTAAATTATTACTTGACATGAGGAGTATATATAATCAAGTAAACAGCGTAAACTAATCTGTCGCTTCATGTTAATCCTCTTTTTAACACATTGGATATGTCGTTAAAATTGCATTAGTTGAAGGAAAAAGTTACTATTATTCCTTTATGTTCTTTATGTAATACTCTTAAGAAAAAATGAAGAGTAAAATGACAGGTAATGTTGCAAACAAATAACAAAGTTTCATTAATTAAAAAAATTACAAATAGTTGTACAAACGGTTCTCCCATTCAGCTTCAAATTTAAGAACATAAACCCAAAAAGGTTCACTTGGCCAAACCTCGTGATAAACATCAGTTAAAATACTACCTAAAGGTTGTCCAAGTGAATCTACTAATATTGCTAAGGCTTTCCAATCAGATAGTTTATTTTGGTCAATAGCATCAATTAGTGCATCTCGGGTAAACTTATAATTTTCAATATATTTAGCTAGTGAAGCCCTAAGCTCTCTAAATTTCTTTTCTCTTTCCCTTCGTACAACCTTTCGATCCCTTAACTTATTTTGTATTGGCCTTGGGAGACTCCTAATGACTTCAGCCTTAGAGTCAGAATCATTATACGAATAAATGCTGCGACGACATACCCTTCTACGTTGTCCCATTCCTTGACTTCGAGAAGTCGCAGTTGTAGTAATTGGAAGTTCTCCTTGTTTATTATCTGAAATAGGACAAAGGAAACAATAAGAATGGCTAAAACCGATAAATGTGACAACATATATCACAATTAATTGTAAAAGGATATGACTCCATATTGTAAAAAAAAAACAATAATTCCAATAGATTACATAAAATTAACTTGACTAATAACTTATGGAAGTCTACGTTGAACATTGATAGAGCTTTTAAGCCATCCAATATCCATGATAATTAAAAAAGAAAGTAAAAAAACTGAACATTAAGAGAAATTGCACAGCTTTGATTGTTGGAACTTTTGTAACTATTTTGGAAATTTGAAACTTGTATGAGACAAGTTTATGTGAAAAGAAAGAGTAATACCCAAAAGTCCAGTAATTATGTATACGCCAAATGCAATTCCAATAGCAGCCTAATTCAAGTTAAAGAGTGCAAATTGATAGAGCAACTGCATAGCAAATATCACAGCAACTGAACCGTTATAAACTATATTCAACTGCGTAAAAAAAGTACATTCCTAGGCTGCTTCACCACTACATAACAAAAGGGAATTCTGTTAAAAGCTTGATTGTTTTAAATTTTATAATATCGACGTCGACGCTGCATTTACAACTGCCATTACTCTTCTGCTAATTCTAACTTTTCCTTCCACTCTATGGCCATTCCACTTGTAATTGAGGTTTTGTTAATTAGCCCAAGGAAAATCAGAGAAAAATAAACAAAGTAGGAAATATGGAGTATTTGTAAGCATTGAACAAAGAGACCCTCTGTAAGCAACAATTATGCAAATCGCAAATCTGTAAACAGTGGATTAAAGTTCATACCGTTGTTATCGGGAGAAAATTTAGACTGTTTCTGCTTTTGTATATCCATTCGATTTTTTCTGCCTTGTTTCTTCTCTTCTTCCATGTTAAATTCAGTCGTAACTGGTGTAGTTGTCACAAGTTGTACAGCCGTCTATTGAACAGAATTTTGTTGATGATAGAGGCTTGTTAAAAAAGTATTTGTATACACTATACTGTAGTAAAATAGAGAAGTATGGTGTAGTCAAATTGAGAAGGCTTTGCAAAGATAATTGTTACCTAATATTATGGGACAAAGCTCTCTTTTTCGTTATTCTCTAATGTTTTCTTCGTCTGACCCCTCTATATTTGTGTTCTTTATATAGATAGAAGATAGATGATGGGATTATTATAGTGGAAAAGTGGGGATGATTGGGAAGGGGACGTGAAGGATATGGTTGGGATGTGAGGAGTGTTGTGTGGGAGTGGGAGATCATGGGGGATATGCGTGAGACAGAATTTTCGGAAAACATGGACTGTGTTTATTCGTTAAATCCACTGTTGAAGAATTTCTCAGATTCGCTACTGGATATTATACCAACTGGAGATTTCGATGCTTTCTTCCATGCAGCAAAGCGTGGATATGGTCCGTTAGTTGTGTGCTATATGGTCCGTTAGTTGTCTTGTATCTTGATACACCCAAGCTTGCCAAATGCTATTTTTGAGCAAAGCAGATTTTGTCAGATTGCGCATAACGTAAAACGGAAAAGACGTAACAAAGAGTACCTTGAACTGTATGCTACAGGTGAAACAAAAATGATAATGTCATTTTGATTAATATCCAAAATAGTACAGCAGCCTGTTATGACAATTTTTACTGTTGAAGAAGCAAAACTTTCTTAACAAACAGGAAATGATAGCACTATAATGCCATTAAGCTTTAATAACTAAAGGGGGTTATAGATCATTTAGACGAAAAAGAGCAACAGGAAGGGAGTAAAACATATTATAACATTATTGATCCAACACTGTCAAACACAACACAGTGTTTGATTAACCAAAGTATTCTTAATATCTCATACAATTTGAGGAATGTCTTGCTCTTTTCTCGTAAGGAACTTATAATCGTCGATCAGTAAATCATCATTGAACCCCAACAATTTTTGAACATATGAAACCGCTTAAATTCCCCTTCATATGTGGTCACTTCAAAATTAGTAATTGCCTCCCTTCTGTTGCACTGAGAAAGTGGAAAAAATAAGCTTCCCATCGTCCATATTTGTGCATCGCCGCTCCCTTGTATTTTGTGGTTGCTGTCGAGAACTAAAGCTTAGACGTTGAACTATTTGCACAAACTCTGCTTTTCTGAAATTAGACATATACTTATCAAGTCACAAAACAATTATACACATCCAAAATTAGTGAATAAGTGTCTACAGATTTTTGCAATTTCGAATATTCAAACGAATAAGTGATCATACACAGTATTTATGAATATGCCAAGACGAAGAACATAAAATATATGGTGTTAATATGGTTTATACATATTCAGATAGTTCATTTATATATATTATACAAAGAAACTTGATCGTTTCCAATTAGCATATCCAAATGTTTTCAGAGGGAAGAGATTTATTGACTATCTTGAAATGGAAATCTGGAAGAATGTGTATCACATAGACATGATATATTACAAGTTCCAAGATGTCTTTCCTTTAAATTCAGCTTCAAAAATATTTTTTCCCTCTCTGGGTAGCTTAGACTTTCTTTCACACTTTCCATTGACAGCTTGTTTTCCTACAAATTGTCAAACTGAATCAATATTTTCTTTCCATTTTACTTCTTCCTTCAGCAAGGAAGTGGCTTAAATTTATATGTTTGTAACATGCTAAACTGTGTGCTATTAAGATCTGATGCAACCAAAAGATAACATTACTATTCTGCACTAATCTCTTTCCTTGTTTATTTTCACCATGAATTCACCAATAAAAAGCAAAGCCTTGACTCCCATGCTTTTTAACAGGAATTAATAGAGAAAAGTGCTTAGTTCAGCTAGCAGGGAAAGAAGCAGAGACGTGCAAGTAACATTCTTTCCTAGTTTTCCCAGTGAATTTTATACAGTATCAAGATTTCAAGCGACAAAGACATTTTCCTATACCAGTTTTCGTGTTTCATAACTTCAAAAACTGAAATGGAAATGAATGAGGAGAACCTGTCCAGATTGGCAATCCCACACTTTTACTATCTTGTCCGTACTCCCTGACTAAAGCTTATCCGAGCCTGATGGCAAAGCAATCCCTGTAACGACCTGTTTGCAAAAACCATTTAATTGGTATCTGCACAACTCACTCTCATTTATTTGAATCAGTTCAAAGGCGTAAAACTTGAATATGTTTCTAGTTATTCTCCTCTCTCACACACACACAGAAACACAAAAGAAATTCACTTCTGGAACTGCAAGTAACATGATAGTCAACTGGACGCCAAGTTACTCCCTTCGTTCCAATGCATCTGCTATGAGAACCAACAATAAAGCTGATTAATTTGTAAAAAAGTGGATGCTTATCACACTAACTATATTTCAAACCAAAAAATGAGTAGACCAATTACCAGTACACTGAAACATCCATAAGTTTATTTAATCCAATTACATTTGATGAAATTTCACAATGTCCGGTTGATGAATTAGCATATTAAAACCAAATTCGTATATGAAATTCATTGCTTCTTCAAAAATGCGATGTAAGAAGTCTGTTAATCCATATTATGGCAAATCAAGACATATCTATATTTGTAATATTTTTAAAAAAGTTAATTTTTATACAGAATAGAGAAATAGAGAAATATATAAGAAAAGAGCAGAAAAGTAAAGCGTACCTATTACATGCTTCAGATATGTTGTCAACATCTATTGTCGCACTTGGTTAATGAATCTCAGTAACAAAAGTTGTACTTAAAGCTCAAAAAAGATATTGATTATCTTTCGAGTGTCAGACTAAATTTCGAAAAACTTCTTTAAATACAACATTTGTAGCTTCAGTAGTTATATTCCCATCGTCATCACAAACCAATATTTTTAATCCCTTTCTACTCGTCACTCGAGAAAGAGCAACATATAGCTGTCCATGTGTAAAAACTGGTTTTTTTAAAAATAATCCCACGTGAGACAATGACTGTCCTTGGCTTTTGTTGATTGTCATGGCAAAAGATACAATGATTGGAAATTGTCTTCGCTGGAACTTGAATGGAATTCTAGCATCAGATGGCGTCAATGTCATTCTTGGAATAAACACTTTCTGTCCAGCCATCTGTCCCGCTAAAACCTTTGCTTCAATAACTTGATTTCCAAGTTTAGTTATGATCAACCTTGTTCCATAACATAATCCTGCTGACTGATCAATATTTCTTAATAACATTACTGGAATACCAACCTTTAGCGTAAGAGCATGATTTGGAATTCCAGAACATTTAATTGTATTTAAGAATTCAGGAGTGTGTATATGTTCCAGTGCTGAATAAGTACTGTCAGAGTTGCAAATTGTATCGGAACTCAAATATGATTTCTTAGAACTTTTATTAAGGGAAATCATATATTCGTTGATTGATTCCACCATATCAAGAGTTGGAGTAAGAATGGCTCTTTGTTGTAGGTATCCTATATCATTGCAACGACTGTTGATATTCGGATACGTACTTTCTACAATTGCAGGTGTTGGATCAACGGATTGTTTTATCAAAAGATCATCTGGTATTTGGACTTTTTCACTGCCATCAACAGAAGTACCAACTATACCATCGCCAATTGCCAAAATCCAATATGAAAAAAACTCTCAACTCATCTAGATGTGTCCCTATTTCATTACCTTGCAATCTCATGTTCTTTGTTAACTTTAACAATTGACAGTGAGGCCACAAATAAGAAGAATTGAGAGAAGCATTAACAATATCTTGCCTACTACCTTTTGGAATAATAGGTAATATTTGTCTGAAGTCACCACCAAGAACAATTGTTTTACCTCCAAATGGTCGGTGTAAATTGGATGCATCTTTAAACCTAAGAATATCTCTTAAAGTTTTATCAAGAGCTTCAAAACAATATCTATGCATCATGGGTGCCTCATCCCAGATAATCAACTTTGCCTTAATAATTAAATTTGCTAAAGGAGTACCTTGCTTTATATTACATGTTGAATCTTCAGTTACATTTAGAGGAATCACAAATCTTGAATGAGCTGTTCGACCACCTGGTAGCAACAAAGATGCAATCCCGCTAGATGCAACGGTCAAGACAATATCTCCTCTAGATCTTATGGCAGAAGATAGAGTTCTCCAAATAAAAGTCTTGCCCGTTCCTCCAAAACCATATAAAAAGAAAAACCCACCTTTGTCTTCATTCACATCTCTTATTATTTTTTCATAAACTGACTTTTGCTCATATGTCAAATTCTTTACTAATTGTTGATGTTCCTCTGCCAAAGCGCGTTTATTAAAACGCAATTCATCCCGTATTAATCTATTATTGTTACCAACTTCTTCCGTATTATAAACAGGCCTTGGCATTGTTGGAAAATCCAGAAAACTTCTTCCACAACCTTTCAAAAAAGTTTCAAGCTTTTGCAAACAACTATTTTTCAATTCTTCATCTGTTAGGTGAGCTTCTGAAATAACATTAGAATGTAAAATAATTAAATACAATTAATCCGTATTATAAACAGGCCTTGGCATTGTTGGAAAATCCAAAAAACTTCTTCGACAACCTTTCAAAAAAGTTTCAAGCAAACAACGATTTTTCAATTCTCCATCTGTTAGGTAAGCTTCTGAAATAACATTATAATGTAAAATAATTTAATACAACTAATTATTTAATTGTAACAGAAGACTCTTCTTCATTGCATTTGGCACAAAAGTATTTATTTCCAACTTTTTTCACCTTTCGACTACACTTGTTGCATGCCAAGTATGACCATCCCCAGTCAAGTTCGAAATTAACCAATTTTGCCGCAATCCAATAGCTGGATTCCTATTGAGTAAAAAATAAACAATTATTGTAAATGCAAAACAGATAACATAAGGTAAATATTATTGAGAAAGTAAATTAAACTCACTTGCGTGCACTGAACTAAATCCCTAATAGTTTTAAACAGTACAATTCCTTTGTCTAACTCATCTCTAACAGAGTAACTTTGTTGAGAACTTGTTCGAGTGATACGCTCAATGTTTGATTGACGTGCTGCAAGTAATCTGCATAAGTCAAAAATTGTAATTTATAAATACTATTGTTATATTTTCTGTACATATAGAAAAGTATTATACACTTCACAAACCTGGATTTAAATTCAATAGACTGCGACAACGTAGAATTTATCCATATCTTTGTCTGATACCAACAGCTACGCACTGAGTAATTACCTGTGTGTCAAATGAAATATGAATAAAAATTTGAAATTTAAAATTATTTATACAGTAAAATAAAAAAATACATGTAATTTATGGTAAACCTCGATATTTTTGAGGTTTCATATGCTGGAAAACAACAATCAAAGGCTCATCGGCAGATTCATTCAAGTGATGTTGAATTTGATCCACAAGTTCGCCTCCATAATGTTGCCATAATCTTGTTCCTCCTATACGTTTCATGGTAAGGTTAATAAACACATATATATATGTAATCTATCAATAAAGTATTTTTTCTATTTTAAAAGTACTTACTGATCATCTTCGAGTACAACATTAATGAGGAAATTTTGGTCGTCTCCCTGCTTGTAGGTCTTAACATCTTCATAGGTCACAACCTGACCAACCACATCTATAAATATAAAAGTTAGTGACATACTTTAAGAAATAACATTTTTAACTTCATTTAAAATTTAAAAAAATATTACCGAGTAATTCTGTCTCATCGACATCATGTTCATTTGTTAGTTGGTGAAAATGGCGCAAGTTAAAGATGTTCATATGAAATGAAGGATCATTTGTTTCCTCGACAAATGTCTTTTGAGTAAATGTCAGCTTCAGCTTGTGTGTCGTAGTCCTCAACTTCAACTTATTTGGTCCGACTACAAAGTAGTTCATACGATATAAGCGAAGTTCATGTATCTTGTTCCTAAAAAACTTAAGAACATACTTTCCGATTGTAGCATGTATACGATCACCCTGCAAATTCAGATTCATTATTAGTGCACAATTATGAAGCCAACAAATGTAAGCGCGTATATACTTTCATCACTGTGTAAAGTTGTTAAAAGATGTAATGTCAAAAACCAGAATGTTACAGTTGTTGTATATGAATTATGAAGGCAACATTAGCAGAAACAAAGCTGAAAATTGCATATATAAACGTAGTTTGTATATGTTCATCCGATGATCGTGTAACCAAGGCAAGCAGTAGTTAATATTTGCCGAACTTATATATTTTGAACAATACTTCTTTAATAGCAGAACAATTCCTCTGTTATTTTGAACAATAAATCTATTATTATGTACAAAGATGCAACTTACCTGATTGTTAATATAAGGACAATCACTGTCTAAAGGTATACTTAACATTCAAAGTGAAAAACGAAATGACACAATGGATTCCAGATCAGTTAAAGATCTGTTGATATGGAAGTCGAATTATTTAAGTAATGCGGAAGAAAGAATTTTCATATGGAATGCGACTACATTAGTAAGTTTAAAACTATGAGAAAGTTGAATATGTTACCTTAGAATCCTGTAAAACCAATTCAATTGAAAACGGTATTTGCGGGTTAAAGCGATCCGGCATTATCCACATTCGAACCACTCTAACTTTGAGATTCCATTGCATCGAGTTGGATGATATTTGTTTGATATCATGAATTTGTGTGGCCATACTTGCAAAGTAATTGCAATCAGACTGTAGTAGATGAAATATGAAGTTGAAAAGGTTTTGAAAATATAAAGCACATAAATCATGGAGTTATAGATGTGTATATAAATTTGGGATTTTTCAGTTGGAAGAGCACGTTTGAGACCACGAGCAGTCATGGAATAATGAAGATTGTTTTGCGTTTGAGATATCGACTGTTTTGTTGGAATAACTGATATTATTCCTCCTTTTTTTAAAAAAACGTAGGTATTAAAAAGTTAAAAAAAGTAATTGCAAATTGTGGATGGTAGTTACAGAGTAAAAGACGGGAACTTACAAAGTGGAGGAATCTTTTCCTTGATTTTAATAACAGCAAGTTTAATTAAAGGGAACAAATTCTGGAAACCAAAAATCACGGGATGAATGTGGGAGTATTAACTGTTCTGATTTTGCTGATTTGTAGGGATGCATGTTGTTTTGTTTTTAATAACAACCACGTTAATTTAGGGGAGAAAATACCGGAAAGCTAAAATCGTGGGAGTATTGGCTGGTTATTTCGATTTTTTTGCTGATTTAGCTGATTTGTAGGTAGAAGAAACTAACTCCAACTTTTTTGGAGAGTTGTCTTAATTTGTTACATGTGTTACCATGATGGGTGTTCCACTTGGCAGCCTAATATTGTTTTGCTTGTGTTATTCTATATAGATAGATTAGCCAACGATTCATATGACTCATTAACAGTCACAATCCTTTTAACAAAAACTAACCCCTACAAACCACTTTCAATAGGCAACGCTCCATAGTTTATCGCTTGGTCTTTGTCACGGAGTCAATTACTAAATGGTCACTCAAGTATCTCAAATTATCTCCTAAAGTCATTTTTCTTTCGTTTGTAACAACAAAGTCATTGAACTGTGCATATTGCACTCAGAAGGTCACTCAACTAAATTTTTCAAATTTTGGATTGTTAAATACCTATTTTACCCTCTAAATTGTAAACATTTATATTCTTCTTATTTTTTTTAAAACTTTTTAGTATTAACAACAAAAATTTAAAAATTTATTTACACAATTAAGAATGAAAGAAAATAAAGGTTGTAAAATATATATTTCTTGCACGTAATATAAAAATAATTATTAAATAAAGGTATTTTTATAATACATTAATATTTTAAAAATTATTTGCTCATAATTTTCAACCCGATTTTGCACTTGAGGACCATTTTGCCTTCTCTTGTTTACCATCATGCTAACTCCTTCCTTTGCATTTACTTGCTTGGGGCCTTGCACTTGTTGAAGTTGAGCTTTGGCTAGTTAATTCATTGTGGTGGTCAACTCGGCAATTTCTTGCCCATGATCATGTAATTCTTTATGCAAGTGAATCACATTTGGATCGCCTTGAGGAACGTTTGCTCTACTTTGCCATGCCGATGAAGTATCCGCCATTTCATCAAGAATCTCACAAGATTCCGCATACGGCGTTGTCATGAAATTTCCACAGGCAAGTTGGTTGACCACGCATTGATTGGTAGTATTGATCCCCCTATAGAAGTTTGTTGAATCACAGCCTCCGTCATGTCATTGTTCGGGCACTCTTTCACAATAGTCTGGTACCTTTCCCATAGGCTCATTGGGTTCTTGTTTGTTGAATCACAGCCTCTGTCATGTCATTGTTCGGGCACTCTTTCACAATAGTCTGGTACCTTTCCCATAGGCTCATTGGGTTCTTGTTTGAAAGCTAGAATCTCATCCCTAAGAGTTGCCATATGCCCGGGAGAAAAGAACTTGGCAATGAATTTCTCGGCGAATTCATCCCACGTATGGATAGAATGATTTGGCAACCTCTCCAACCAATCCAAGGCCTTCCCCCGTAGAGAGAAAGGGAATAGCCTCAACTGCAAAGCATCTTCGGAGACGTTTGTTTGTTTACTCCCCCAGCAAGTGTCAACAAACCCTTTCAAGTGCTTGTATGAGTTTTGGCTCGGAGCCCCGGTGAAGAATCCATGTTGTTCCAACAACGTAAGCATAACATTTGTGATTTGAAAATTTTCCGCACTAATGCGGGGCGGGACTATGGCACTTGCGTACCCTTCATTCGGCAACACCCAGTGTGCTGCCACTCTTGGAGGAGGTGGGGGTGGAACGGGAACGTTGTCTTGAGGCGGCCGGCCTCGTCTATTTCCTTGAGGTTCAAGAGGAACCTCATCAACTTGGTCATCATCCCCGTCATCTCCCAATGGCACGTTTCCAAGAGGATCATTGTTGTTGAGAGCCATTGTATCACCTACAATTGTTTCACGTAAAGATTAGTAACCTGGAAGGAAATGAAGACAAAAGACACACAAAACCAAATATATAGCTAAATCCGTTTTTAGCTCCCCAGCAACGGCGCCAAAAATTGATGTTGCGCAAATTCACACCACTAATTGGATTGTGAAGTGGTCAATGCAATTATAATTACCTAACGAGAGTCGGGATCGATTTCACATAGAGCTTATTGGATTAGGTATATATCTAGACTAAGTGTATGATGTGCCCAAAATGCACTTCCATATGTTTGGTTGTTTCGTTCTACTTCTAATGATTAGGCTAATGTTTGCAAATGAAAAGCTAGAGAACGATATTTTTGGTGTTGTTGTTTTTTAATTTTATAAAAGATCTAGGGTCGTGACTTCCTCCTAGGGGGCTACCTAATGGATTGTAGGCTCTAGGGCAAGTTTGATTGGTCGGGGTCGTAATATAGCAATCACACGCAATTACCCACTCGATACCTCTCGATAGTTAGAGTGGTTTGCCCAATTTGGCCTTCTCAAGTCCAAATGGGTAATTCCCAAAAGAATTGATAGATGCTCAGGTCGGGTCTTACTATCTCTAGATTCAACCCTTTAATTAGGGCTATCAATTTCTTGAGCTCACCCCAATTCCTTGTTAGCCAAGTTTTCCTAGACTTAGTCTCTCTTTCTCAAGTAGAGATTAAGGCATTTAGGCATGAATCAATGTTTGCAACCATTAATTGTTGAATTCAAGCAAGAATTAGGCTAAATATAACTCACCCAATCACAAGCAAGTCCTAAATCAAATACCCATTAAGTACCCACACTAGGGCTGGGTCACAACCCTAGCTAGAAATTTAGCAACTCATAGAGAAAATTGAAGAAACTAAAGAAGAAAATAAGATTAAACTCATATTAGATGATAAAAGGAAGAAAATCCAATCTTAAAAGGATAAACTATCACAAAGTTACCCAAAGAAGTAAAGGAAAAACGACTATCTACTTTCTGGTGTTCAAAACTTGACCTAATTTTGACAAAAAAGACTATTTATTCACAACTGAAATTATCGGACAAAATTGCCCCTGCGGAGGTTCTACGGCCGCACAATTAAATGTGCGCTCCGCACTTTGATGTTGTCTTGACAGGATGGACTTCTGCGGCGCACAATTCTACGTAGCGACTGCACTTCTTCAGATTCTGCGGACCGCACATTTATGAGTGCGGTCGCACTCTTGATGTAACACCCCGTAAATTCGGCTTAGGTATGAATGTGTTAAGTGAGTACTAATGTTATATTTTGGACATGTGAATTTCTGTTTGTATGAGTATGGGTGGAAATAGTTATTTTAGAATCAAGACGGAGAGTGAGGTGTACAAGATTCGATAAAATCTACTAAGTTTACAAAAAGTCAGTCTTGTAGCAGGATTTAGTGAAAATGTGTAAGGTATTTGGGAAAACTCAAAAGATGAAAGTTGTAGCCCTTTGAAATAGATTTCCAATGATATATTGTGAAGCCCAAACAGATCTCTGTGCAAAAAGTTATGTTCGTTTTACAGAACAGTGCACAATATGTGCGCCCAGTGCGCGGCCGCGCACTTGTGGTAGTGTTACTTCCATTTTGCGCGTTCAGACCCTCAGGTACGCGGGGGGCACACTTGGGGTGTCATTTTAAATACCTACTTCTTCCCACACACCCCCAAAACACAAAAACATGCTCTAGAAAGAGGAGCTCTCAAAAACCTAACTCCTTAAGGGTCCCTCCACCATCCAAGGTAAGTTCTAATGGTGATTCTAAGTTAATTTCAATTTTCCAACATCTTATTAACATGGGTAAACCATCTATATCATTAAATATTTGATTGGGACATCATTGTTGAGAGAAGGAACCCTAGAACTCAAATTCAAGGGGATTGAACTTCGAAAAGGTAATGTCTTCACCCTCTAATTGATTCTAGCATTGGATTAATGATTATAGACTCTAGTTCATGAGATATGAGTTGACGAGTTTGATAGAAAAACATGAACGGTTAAAGGTTTGGGGTGTTGATTGTTGATTATTGGTTAAGGGTGTTGTTTACCTTATGGGTGATAAAGAATGACGTTGATTATAACAATTTGAGACTTTAAATTTTATCCAGGAGCAGGAGTATGGGTTATTCGGTGTAGAGACACCATTAATAAGGACTATGAAGCTTTATTCTCACTAAGTGTTTGATAAAACGCTTAAGTGAACAAAACACGAGTAACATAGCTAATATGGAATCCCTTTGACTTGTATTGCTATAGATTAAAGTTGAAAGGGTTGACAAACGTTGTATTACGCTCATGAGCAGGAAGTTAAGGTATGTGAGGCTAACTATTTACGTTTGGGAATGTCAATGATTCTCTCTACGTCCCATTAATTATGGCTATTACTAGTTTCCTCAGAAAGTAATTATGTCATAGTTCCATGAATAGTCGTAGAACTTCTATTCTCTAGATGGCATAGTTTCATAGTCATTCAATATTCTATGAGTTTCAGTTTGACAAATCAACTTATTATGAATACACATCTCAGTCTAGCCCTATTCATTATTCCGGTATCATGTAACTCAGTATAGTTCAACATTTCAGTATGATGTGTTGCAGTATGATTCTCAGTTCCTGATTCTATTTTCCTGAATATTGAACACCTGTATTTGGGCCCGAGGCTGCAATTTATGCTTTATGCATTTTTGGGCCTGAGGCCGCAGTTATGTATATGTATACTTGGGTCCGAGGCTGCAGTATAAATAGACTGCGGCCTCAGGCCCTATATATATAT